TGGCATGAGTTTATTTGTGTATGTGCAATTCATGTTCCAACCCCCAATCTGGAGGGCCAGGAGACTGTGTTCGTCAGACCTCTAACCATTGACCAACCTGGTATGAGAGACTCTGAGTGTCTCGCGACACTCTCCAGTATAGCTCAATGGATCTCTGAGGTGCGCAAACCGTCACATCACGGTAAGGTCCAGTCACTTCGTGGCGGGAACTGCATCTCACATCTTTAAGAGGTGCACTTTGTGAGACGACGTCTTCTACACTGTTTCTATTCACAAAGTACCTGCACTGTATAGGCTTTTTGCGGCTTACAACAAAACTCTAGAAACGTGAGGTCATGTTTCACTATGTCGAAAGGTCGAAGATCGAAGGTGTTTTGAATGTAACCGCTATGACTGAAAAAGACAGCTCTTTCAGACAACAGAGCAGTCGTAAGCTACGAGATGTTCTTGTGAAACGATACCGAACAGGAAACCGTGTACGTGCGATGTCCGTTCCGCTACAATAAGGTTTTGGAGTTCGCCTAGCGTCGCCGAGTTCCTCCCGAAAGAATCGTAGGACGTCGCTGCCTGATTCAACTACTCCCACTGGTTTGGCTGTTGTTTTGACGTGCAAATTAACTCAGTGCAGCTTCAGATAGGTTGTTTACATTATCTGAATCAGTCAGCAGCCACCAGTCAAGAGGCTTCTGCGGCCCCGACATACGGAATAGGAAAAGAATCTAGCTTCATGCAGCCTGAAAAGGATGGAACAACAGATAAGGTGAAAAGTACCAAGCTTGGCTGCCAAGAATCATTCGGGATACACTTTCATCAGGTGTCATTATTTGCCGTCCCGTAAGGGAAGCAGAGATTATCACCCTCAATAAATCTTTCACTAAAGTAAGAAAGTCATTATGAGCAATTATATAGGTTGATAACAAGCTTGAATTGCCCGTTCTGCGGAGCTGGGCGATTTCACGTCTATCCCTCAATCTCATAGAACAATGCAGAAGACAATGTATCTTATCCGGTTTTCCATGATGTCGGGCCAACGAACTTATTAAAGAAAAGCCTTTTCTTCGGCCGATGAATTTCTATTCAAGCAAATTCTAGGAAATAAAAACCACCGAAGTATCAAACGTGGGGAGGCCAGTCACCCAGAGCAAATCCTAGTAAGTGATTGGCGGGACGGCTCAGTCAATCGCATACTGAATCAGTTTGGTCCAAGAAGCGTGCGGTATTTCCGTGGTGATCGTTATTCGCTCCATGGAATTGAAATTCGAAGGTTATGGCGCGTCTCTCATGGACTAAACCAATCGGTCGATAAGTTAAGAGTACCAGTCCAAACTTTTGGGCCTAGTTTAGGCATCCCGGTGTCTCAGCGATTGAAAATTATCCCTCAAGTCTTTTCATCCAGAGGCATGGCTGCTACAGTGAACAATGAAATTTTGTTGGCCTGAAAAAATAATAATTTGGATTGGAGTAGATTTGGATTTGAGCACATACGCAACAAAATGCAGCATTTTGGCATCAAAAGTTTCACCTCAGTTTTACAGGTTCTTCAGTTGGGAGCATTGTGCGGATAATGGGCACTTACGTCGGTCATCTTTCGGTTCCGGGGCCCGTTATCTACTTATTTGCCATTTTCTCTCATCAGCGAACGGATGGCTAGTTTTGATGTCTTCGCAACTTTGACACGGTCGGCTGCTGTTAGGAACACAGTCGTAAAACGGCGCTTTATGGAGATCGCACTAGTATAAGCATTATTTCTAAAACGTGTTTTGTCACAATAACCTTTAAGTTGTGCCATTAGCCATGCATAGCAGATAAATATCTTTGGATGTGATGAGGGAAACTTAAAGTTCTTAATGTAACTGAAAGGTAATTTGAAGTAACTACAAGTAACTAAAAGCGTGCATAGAAATTCTTCTGCATGTGGGTAAGCTTATTCTTAGGTGTGTCAAAAAGACTTCAGCCTCCTACTAACCTCGTACTGGAAGAAGCGATGTAGATAGCCAGCTAGGGGGCCGATGGAGTATGTGAGGTTGGCGAAAAGCATTTTAGGGTACGTGGGCGTATTTCGCAATGTTAACCAAGGCGCTTGATATATGTGTGTTGTCAAATTCTACATATCCCACAGCTAACACCGTGAGATTTCCTGGAGGGTATCCCCGAAGTTGTTTTTGATGCTTTTCTGCCATGTGTTAACTACCCGCGTTTCTTCGATCTATGCACTATGTGCCTTTAAATCGTTCCAGTATTTGGAGTTGGCGACGAATATGTGGAGATGAGTGCGTTTTTCAACGCCATGAGGATACCGCTTGAAAGCTGGTGTGAAGCTGTTCGTGAAGGAAGTGAAGCCATTCGCCGCGAGTCATTTATTGGCAAGTGGTTACAGGCTCTTGTACAGGAAACTTAACGTCTCATTTGCACAGCCTTTTTGAACGCTGAAAATTCTCACGCGTCTTCTTAGACTTTCATGGATATTCATCGGCAATTACACAATTGTCAACGAACGCTGCAAAGCAGTTCCAAAAGCTTCCATCAGACGCCGAGCGGAGCTTCGACAGGACCACGGGCTACTCGGACACCTCATTAGTATACACAATCTAAGTAGTTCCTCAATTCAGTGTTGGCGACTTCAGGTCCAAACTGATCTACGAATGGTTCAGCAACACGCCATTTCTGTATAAAAGCTGGTGAAAACTGCAGGCATTCAATTCTTGTTTGTTTCTCGAGAGCTCTGCAAACTGGTATTGAGCGCATCCGATCATTCACCAGCCGCAGTTAGAGTAGCGTCTGTTATGTCGGGGTCGAAAAAGTTGCACTCCGGAATGTTGTTGAGCATCGACGGACAGGCGCAATATTACATGGCGGATGCTGGAGTATTTCTCCGGCTGGTAGTGTCATTTTTATGTACTTTGAGTCCAAATAGCCGGAATTTCAGTGGCGGACAAGCACATGTTATGCCACACACATGTTATGCTACGGGCGTGTAGATATGAACAAAAATCTGGGGACGTACTCGAAATATCTGTCTATACACATTCATGGTGAACAAGTATGTGCATCTCCGATCAACAAGAAACGCTAACAGGCGCTGATGTTGTTTTTGATTGTCGTCTCCATTGCCACCTAATACATTTGGGTTCCGGTACGTAAATTTCGGCTACCGGTCGTTCATGCGTGGGGTTCACGGCGACGGTCACATTTTTATAGTTAGTTTTAACATGCAGGTTTCGCAAAATGTGTAAAATTCTGACTAACAGATGTAGGCCAGCAACTACCGTTCGGATGAGAAACAGGAGAAGTCGTTCTTGATTAGTTGAAGGTGCTTACTAGGTCCATGAGGATCCATGACCACGCCCAGACAAAAATAGAAGAGACTTGACAGGTGATGATTTTCGAGAGAGACCTTATGCACATTTTGACTCGCAGCAATGTCTGATTGTGATTGTGGTCATTTGCGTGTTTCAACGCTTACGTGAGTGAGGCTGTTTAGTTTGCTTTTGAAACAAAATGATTTTGCGCAAGCTGATTCGACGTATCAGTGTAATATTGGTTTGCACCTCTGGCGATCGGTAGTCAATAATTGCAATTGATTTGGTTGGAGTGGGTTTTACTGCTTTACCTGTGGTGCTTGGCCGGATCGTTATGATATAGCTGCTGAACATTCTGTGCGATCTGCATAATCGACGATCGTTTTTAAAACGAATGTGGTAGGTAAAAATATATCATAGTTGAGGAGCGTGAAAGCGGCGATGCCGAATGCCCTCATCATTTTTTGTCCTCTTCACATCTTGCAAATTTTCAGAGCCAGGATTCACAGGCTTAGGGAAGCGGCTTCTTTATATAAAAATGTTTTGTTTGTCTGCTCAAAGCGAATAGTTTGTTGTAGGGGGGTGGTTGTGTTTTTGGATCTATGCCATCAGTATCGGAAGCCGTAACCAGGAGTACTGGCCCCGCCGCAGTGAACTCAGACGCAAAATTTCACAAATTATAATAAAAAGTATGCCTCAGGCACATTAGGTGGAAATTAACCGGGTCTTCGCTCACTGCTCACCTGTGTTCGGGCCATCACCAACAGTAGTAGGCAATTAGATTCAAAGTAAACAAGACGCTACTGTTCTACTGGTGCTTGAACAACCGAAAGGTTAGATTGAACCCTCTCATTTGGAGCGTTTGGGTCGGCTCGCTCCGTATGCCAAGGAACAGTCTTATCTCGAGTATTGATTTGGCCCAATGCACCAAATATCAGAGACGACAATATTCTGTAATTTGGATGGTCGATGGAACGGTCGTTTTCATTTATAAATGGTTGATGGTCTTTGCAGCCGCGGAAAGTTGCCGGTTTTGTTGGTTAAACCTGGTGAACAGGCTACCTTTACTGAGCGGTGTTCAAACGTTAGCTACCGGTGCTGAAATTAGGTTGCTAGTAAAAGTTGTCCCAAAAGGCATACTGCGCGTTGCTGGGGATACTTCAGGGAGTGGCTGTGAGGTAATTTTCCCTCTGGCTTTCATGCCTGCTATCGTTTGCTGCGAACATCTGAAAAGCAGGTTTACACAGGATATTGGCCCGGTTTCGTTTTGTCGACTGAGAGTGTCACGGATCCTTCTGCGGTCGAAATGAGGAACTCAGTCCCATGTGTTCGGCTGTCTGTTGTAATGGGATATCCTCACGGGCTATCTAAGTTCCTGTGACATGAAACGATCAACCCAGCACCTCCAAAAGCACCACACTTATGCGCGCCTGAGTGATCTCTCTTTCAATATACGGAGAAAAATGGCTCCGCATGACGTAATATTAGATTTGCAGGTTGACGACGATTGCTTGCAAAGTATCAGGGTGCGTGATCACAAGGTAGGAACTACTGCAAGTTATCGCACCGTGAGAAATGGCTAATGTCATCAGAAATTGTTGCTTATATCTGCGGCATCTGCAATCTGTCCGATAGCGTCTGTTGGGGGCGGGTATTAGACTGGGTATAATGCTACCATTGTCAAGTGCCGATATATCCCAGTTACATCGGTGACTTGCTCTACGGACCAACGTTCTTGAGCCACACGCGCGGGCAACACGATCAGATTTCGGAGCGAATCTCCGAGATGAATTCATTTAGAGGAACAAGGGTAAGTTTTTGTCCCAGGTTACGTTCACATTCGAAAAAATTTTATTTTCGTTGGATAGTGAGTTGCAGGCGGTTTTTTGCCTTAAAATCCATCTTTTCCTCAAAGTAGTGCTGTAGCAGAAACCAGCGTGTGCCCTTCACGCGAACTGAGTTTACGTGCATCCGTGGGATATTCTTTTGCCTGGCGTTGGTAATTCTCCAGTCTTGGCTTCAGATAAGATTGCTGAACGCAGCTTACACGCCTTTTATTTTGTTTCAGGAGGTTATATCAAAAAATAAAACTCCCAGCAATTGACCCCACATTTTATGAAAACGTTAATATCATAGCAACTAGACATCCAGGCCTTAGGTTAAAAACCTTCTTGCGTAGGTGTTCAGGGGTTAGTGTACTTCTTCAGCGGGATAGCCTACGGGGCTTTTTAGAGCATGCATTATGTTTCCAGATGCGAAAAATGCGAGGCATCACCTCCATAATAAAATATACTTTTATATGTCCTGTTCGACTGGATGAATATCGAATTCTGTGATCCGCTGGCTCTACAACTGCTATTTGCAGTACTCATAGTCGTGGGCATTCATTATAATCGGATAATTTGTACGAGGATTGAAGAACGTAACGCTTGCAATTGATGATGACTTATCACCTATGTGAAGGTTTCCAGCAAACTGAAGCAGAGTTCTCCACTGAAATTTATGAAGTATACCAGGTTTACTGTAGAAGACTCAAAGGTGCTGCCAAATAGTTTGCCCCTAGCGGTGCATACGATGCTCATCATAACGCCTACCATTTCTTCTCAGCGATCAATAGTTGCCTGACGCATACGCCCAACCTGCTGCTTGAGGTCCACGATGTCAATGTGTCGAAATATTGGTTGGTCGGATGTGTGCTGGTACCTGATCAGATGGTCGGTTTTCTGTCCGACGAGCATGGCAACAAGCCTACAAACGTTTCCTCCCCTTTCAAGGAGACTTACTCAAATGCACGCTAATTATGTCTCCTCTGCTGAGGACGAAACGTTTTCAGGCAATTTACCAATTTCGACGAACAGCCCAACTACCAACTGGGGAACCAACAACGGTCCACAATATCTAATCAATCAGCCAGACGTAATCTTTATCGATCAACTGTCTAAAGCGCTCATCCATCATTACTAAAAAAACAATGGCCGAACTTCAACAAGATGAAAAATTCAATTTTACTGATCGCTTAAGTTACTGCATATGTTTTGGCGAGAAGTTTGCGACCTTCGTGTTGTGCAATGCTCAGCGAGGCAGTGATGTTCTGGAATCAGGACATAATCACAGTGAGGAAGGCGGCTTACAAGCTGAGAACAATACTTGCCCGGTTACAAGAGCACTTCAGCAGTGATAATCTCTGAGAAGTGTTTAAATAAGGCCCGTTTTTGTGAGTGATTTGTATTGCACTGTTTCCCAAAGCTGGTGCTGAGTAATAGGTTTCAAAAAATACGAAACCCACCTGATGTGCATGATGCCTCACCAAAGAAGAATTATACTGGATGTGGTGGCCCTTCCATGCGTCACACAAAATCGCCGTTGTCTCTTAACTCCAACTGGCGTCCTACAGCATTGATACTGACGTTTTACTTGGAACTCAGGCTTGTCAATTACCTCCTCTCTGGTGCAGGGAACGTGGACGCATATGGACTTCGGGAGCACGTTTTGTTGGAATTCTGTCTCTCAATTCAAGCGGACATTTTAACATGCCTTCTTTGCGGCCCATTTAGCAAGCACGCCTCACTGCTTTCTAGACGAGCCGAGAGCTAGCCAGCAAAAAGTCGTTAATTACATGCGTACCTCAGTTCATCCTTGGGTGCTAAGTCAGCCAACAAAAATCCACCATTTCGTGGTTTATCTGACTTGCAATTATCCCCCTTTAGATTATTTTATATTGGACGCCATTCAACCTAATGCCTCCCGGAATTCACCAGACACTACTGCTCTTGACCTACTCCTTCCTCATTTTCCCGCTTATCAAACTTCGAACTTACTAATAATAATAACAATAATAATGTCTATTCCCAACTTATGGGTGGCATACCGTCTAGCATGAGCATGTAGTTGCTCGAAACGCCCCTTATGTTCGTAGTTCATTCAACCATGCTGATCTCCGGTCTACATACACATGTTCCCTCAACGGAATTGAATTACCCGTGGCTCTTATTCAGCCCGATGCCACCGATGTTAATCTCTTTACCTAAGCCGGATCTTGCTGCAACCTGATTGCATACCAACAGTCCGATTGCGGTAACCTTGTCTACCGTCAAGAAACCGAAGTACGTTAGTGCAATGATAACGTGGCACTACCATAACCAGTCTGATGGTACACCCGTAACTATTCTTTCCCTGCCGTCGGCCGTCACCTGTCGCCCACTGCGGTCTATGATTGCAATTATGAGCAAACTTTTAGCCCGGCCCCAACCGCATCTGGAACTAGTTCGTTCCAACCCACTGAACCTTACTTTCGGGTTCAAACCATCTGGAGTTGCGCTCTAATTTTGGCTTGTCCCTTCCACAAGTTAAGTTTTTTATTTACGGAGTTCGTTTGACCCACGGATTGGGACTAACTCGATAGCGAAACTATCCTTTACAACCGACCGCCGTAAAATAATGACCAGAGAGTCTACTTAGCCTCAACATAAACCACGCTTTTGAAAAGAAACCTGACAATTGTCTCCTTCTCGAGTTATTTTATCTCCATTTCCCTGCTTTTCGTTGCCTTGGCCATTAAATAAACCACCCAAGGTCACTAGTGGCCAGCAGCGATTTTCAGTTTTAGTTTATGTCAGTCAAGTCCATCATTAAACTACTAGTACCTTGTGATCATTGTCGTTGTTTTTCATTTTCAACAACCGTCCTGATTTCTCGCAGATTATACCTTCCTCTCCGTTGTGTTGTTGTTGTAACGACCGGATCGCCTCGTCATATAACACCACTGGGTTTGCTGGCGACCCTCCATGGCACAAAAACTTTATTAACTGAGTTGAAAGCGGCTGACAAGATAAATTGTTAAGTTTATTTCCAGACATTTGAAACAGCTTTGATTTTCAAGGGAATGGCATATGCGGTCATAAGAAATTTGCGTGGAGAAATTGAGATTGATGGGAGACGTTTTAAGGTAAGTGGGCACGTTTTTCATGTTTAATTTAACTCATTTCCTTGATAAACCTTAAACTGATTACACGGAGCTTCCCTGTAATAAATCCTCCAAATTATTTTGGACCATTTCCGATCATGTTGCAATCATTTACCATTTTTAGTTTATGAGGATAAGGCATTTTACTCGTTTTTCACTCAGAATGTGAGGACACGCTAGTTGAATACGCTATTTGAGTACGCACATTTCCTGGCTTGCGCAGAACTCAAAGGTCGGAATTCCGGCTTGTACTTAAATCGCATGTCAGAAGGGAACCTCAAGGGAATCTTCATAAACACAAGGAGCAGTTCAGACTGAAATATCAGCTCCAAGCTCTAAATGGATGTTAAAAGGTATACTTCCAGAACGGTCAACATTCGGCTCCTCACCCTCGGAGGCAGCAGAGACAGTGTTGAAATGCTTGTCCACAAACTGCCTCAGCCTTTTCAACAAACTCTGCGAGATAAAACAGTCAGCTTGCCTTGAACAACCGTCCATAATCGCATTTGCAGAGACCTGGCTCACACCAGACGTCTCTGACGCGGGGATCTCGATAGACGGCTACCCTATTTTTCGAGCTGACTCAAAACGAGGGAGGGCTGGTGGGGTTGCGCTGTGCTTACATTCGGCCCTACCAATCCCGATTGTCCCCTCTGATACCACTGCTGCACCTTTTTGCGATGCACTGCGGGTCCAAATCCAGCTGCGCGGGTCCGATTCTCTCCTACTCGGCGTGGTCTGCGTAGCCCCTCGAGTCCCCTGAAGATGACCAATTCCTCATACAAACCCTTGAGCACTTCTCCTCCACCTACCACTTCACTCATCTGCTGCTGGTAGGTAACTTCAACGCTCCAAAGGCCTCCCGGATGGAGATCAAGCGCGTCTGATCAAGCGGAATTTATGCAGCGGCGCTGATTGAAGTCGTTCAACAGGGTGCTTGGACTCAACACTACGTTGCACCCACCAGATATCGCGCAGGCCAACTACCATCACTCCTGGACTTGGTCATCACTAACGAAAGACACCTCATTGATCAGGTAACAATCGAAGCTCCACAAGGACACAGCGAACACTGTGCTGTCCTTTGATTTAAACTGCTATCGGGCCAGAAATCCCGAACCTCAAACATGGTTTCGAGACATCTGCCGCGCAGACTCCTCAGGAATGCGCATCTTTCTTGAGCAAATTAAACTGCGACCGGCTTCAGTGCAAGAATTATGAAGGACCATTGCCCAGAAAGTTCACGATGCTGACGCGATGTTCGTCCCAAAGAAAACCAGCACGCAATCGGATAAGTCGCAGGATGCCAAAAAGGATTCGGCGACTTCTGGAAAAGAGGTCCCAACTTTTTTCCAAAATGTCGGCTACAGGGGGTACAGAAGATGAACTGGCATTTCAGAAAATGCGGAACCGCTGTAAATCGGAAATGCGCAAATAAAACATACGAGAAACCAAGCCACCATCCTGGACCTTGCTCGAAAAAACAAAAACGTATTGTTCAAATACATGAGACATCGCCTTAGAAACAAGCCATCCGCGTTATCCTTGGGGGACAGAAACGGATAACCGACGAGTGACTCAATACTGGTATCGGAGGTTTACAGAAACCCCTATGGGTGTTTACACTCAGCCACTCTTGTTAAGGCGGAACCACGAACAGCCTTCCACCGACTTGGTCTTCACGGTGGAGGACATTCGTCAACTTGCACAAGATAAAGCCATTCTGCGCATTGGGGCCCGACGAGGTCCAACCAAGGATCCTGAAGGAAACGCCGTCTACCCTGGCAAATCATTTATACCTAGTGTTTCGTCAGTCGCTTGACGAAGGCCGCCTTCCCCCTGCTTGGAAGGAAGCGATTGTCACGCCAATCCACAAAACTGTGACCGACTGTCGCCTGGCAGCTGCAGGGCTATAGGCCTCAAAAGCTTACCGTGGAAGGTGATGGAACGCATTCTGGAGCGGGCTATCCTAGGTCACCCTACATCCAGCAACCTGATCTCTCCAGCTCAACACCGATTTCTCCCAAACCGTTCTAGCGTAACACACATGCTCGTGTTTATCGACAGCATAACCCAGGCCAAGGACGAGGGACTCGTGTCGGATGCCATATTTTTCGATTTCTCAAAAGCCCTTGATAGGGTCCCACGTCCTGCTGCTACACAAACTCGAGTCTTACGGGGTTCAAGGGAAAAATCCTACACTGGATCAAGGCGTTCCTATCAGATAAGTCATTCCGAGTGAGAGTAGGCTCGACCTACTCTCCTCCAGCGCCGGTCACCATTGGAGTTCCTCAAGGCTCCATTTCGGGACCACTGCTGTTTCTGATCTACGTCAACGACCTTCCAGATGCAAAATGTCGGCTACAGGGGGTACAGAAGATGAACTGGCATTTCAGAAAATGCGGAACCGCTGTAAATCGGAAATGCGCAAATAAAACATACGAGAAACCAAGCCACCATCCTGGACCTTGCTCGAAAAAACAAAAACGTATTGTTCAAATACATGAGACATCGCCTTAGAAACAAGCCATCCGCGTTATCCTTGGGGGACAGAAACGGATAACCGACGAGTGACTCAATACTGGTATCTGAGGTTTACAGAAAACCCTATGGGTGTTTATACTCAGCCACTCTTGTTAAGGCGGAACCACGAACAGCCTTCCACCGACTTGGTCTTCACGGTGGAGGACATTCGTCAACTTGCACAAGATAAAGCCATTCTGCGCATTGGGGCCCGACGAGGTCCAACCAAGGATCCTGAAGGAAACGCCGTCTACCCTGGCAAATCATTTATACCTAGTGTTTCGTCAGTCGCTTGACGAAGGCCGCCTTCCCCCTGCTTGGAAGGAAGCGATTGTCACGCCAATCCACAAAACTGTGACCGACTGTCGCCTGGCAGCTGCAGGGCTATAGGCCTCAAAAGCTTACCGTGGAAGGTGATGGAACGCATTCTGGAGCGGGCTATCCTAGGTCACCCTACATCCAGCAACCTGATCTCTCCAGCTCAACACCGATTTCTCCCAAACCGTTCTAGCGTAACACACATGCTCGTGTTTATCGACAGCATAACCCAGGCCAAGGACGAGGGACTCGTGTCGGGTGCCTTATTTTTCGACTTATCAAAAGTATTTGATGGGGTCCCACATGTCCCGCTGCTCCACAAACTCGAAACTTACAGGATCCAAGAAAAAATCCTTCAATGGATCAGGGCGTTCCTGTCAGACAGATCATTCCGAGTGAAAGTAGACTCGACCTTACCTTCTCCAGCGCCGGTCTCCATTGGAGTTCCTCAAGGCTCCATCCTGGGACCACTCCTGTTTCTGATCCACGTCAACGACCTTCCAGATAATCTTGCAAGTCCATTTCTACTTTTCGCGGACGACTTGAAATCCCGGATTTCCGATGCCAGTGCCGTCAAAATGGATGTAAACGATGCCAAACAGTGGTCGTTGGACTGGCACCTTCCTCTGAATGACGAAAAGTGCATCCATATGTCGTTTGGAGGAGACTCAGCGAATTCCTTTGTCATGCATGGTGCGAAAGGACCCGAAAACATCATGAGGATAGATGCCGAAAAGGATTTGGGCATCTGGGTCTCCTCAAACTTGTCCTTTTCGCTGCACCATGAGAAATCGGCCTGAAAGGCATTCGCCATTTTACAGCTGATCCGACGCACCTTCTCCCGTATTACCCGCATGGATTTCCAAATACTCTATGAGGCTTACGTCAGGCCGCTCCCGGAATACGCTAACCAAGCTGTCCACTCAGGACGCATGAAAGACGTCACCCTCATTCAGCGTGTACAGCGAGCCGCTACGAGGATGGTTTCCGTGGACTACGAAACGCATTTCGCGATGCTTTATCTCTTACCCCTGGTGTACCGTCGCCTCCGAGGGGGCCTAATTATTACTAATGCCCTGCTTTTTACCGTTGACCCAGCAAACACACGGCGGGGACATAGTAAGAAGATCTTCAAGCTAAAAGCGTACACATTCGTCAAACAAAAATCTTCTCATTTTGGGTAGTGGTTGCGTGGAATGACCTTCCTCCGTCGGTTGTCCACGCTCCTTCTAGAACCCAGCTCAAAGCGCCATTAGATATTTATGCGAATCCTCGCGCTGGTGATCATACTGCCCCACGCTGAGAACATAAAGAGCAGTGTTATACCCCTTTTTCACTTGTACCTTTCAGGTGAGTGGCAACCGCCCAACGACAAGAATAAAACCAACCCGTGAAACTTGGACAAAAGCCTCTATCCCGTGTATCAATCCGTGAATCCGTGAATTCTGGGCTCGGCAAACATCTCCAACAGCAAGCAGCAGCTGTTCCCCATATGAATTTTTGAATCTCTGAAGAGCACCGGTTTGTTGCATGGTGCAGCACCATCCTGCGAGACCGGAAAGTTTGAAGCCAACATAGGATTTCGTATCCACCTCAATCTTTGCGCTATGCAATCCATTGGGTGATCGACCAATCAGCGGTCAGAAGTTGATGGGTCCGCTGCCGAGTGTCAGTCACGTGTGCTTTGTGGGCGTTTGCTGGCGTTATGGATAACGTAAGAAAATCGCCTCTCATTCGAATGTTAGTGGGTATTGACTGATTGAATCGCGGTTTATCGAGTCCTCCTCAACAGCATCCTGCATTAGGAGAAAAATGACTTAGACTTGGTTCCACGTCAGATTCAGTAGTGGTGAACAGAGGGAGGTCGCATGTTGTTTCGTAACTTCCCAATCTCGCAGCAAACCGGAGCTCTACAAAGATCCAATAACTTGCTTGGGAACAGCTGCCGTTTTTTTCTTGAGGATGTTTACCCAGAGCAGAATTCACAGACCTGTCCTTTAATAAGCCGTTATAAGCCTTGACCTTTTAACATCCATTCTCAGCTTGGTTTGCACCGTTTTGACGTTGATGTCATAGTCTGAACCGTGCTCTGTGTTTATGAGCATTCCAGTGAGATTTCTATTTTTGGCAGTAGTGTAATGTAATGTAACCCAAAAGATGTATATATCCACAGGTCGTACTCAACTAGATCGCGACGGACGCTCTCCCAGTGTTTAACAATTGGATACCGGATTCCATGGTCATAACACTTCGCTAGTAAATATTGACTGTTTAATTTCATGGTCCAGTTTCCGAACCATCCGGTTACCTTTTTTCATATTTGTTTGTCACGACGAACTTGGTTGTCGAGTTCATCCGCGAGAAATAGGCGCTCATTTGGCCTAACGGATGCGGTGGCAGCTTTTCGTGGAATTCTTCATCCTTAGTGGCTGTGAGATATCATTGGAACACACGCTGACAAGATCGAACTGACGGTCAAATTATCTTCGCATTGGTGCAGTTCGTCCATTCATATACTCGACCACCTCCAAATCTGATTCCATGATCCCGGTGACTATTTTTTATAAGTTCCTTGACCGCCCAAACGAAACCCGCTTGTAACAGCTGCGTCCATGCGACGGTATTTCAAATCCTGTGTTACGAGGGTACCACGCTTTTCAGGTATTGGCAATTGATCAGACGGCTGTTTATCTGTTCGCCTCGAATGATGAAATGCTCGCAAATCAACTGCCAAGCTTGACGAACAGATCAACAGCCACCTGATTTAATACAATTTAATGCCCCGAGCTACCAATATTTCAACATATTTACTTATTTCATGTATGCCTGTTCCATTCCTTTAAAAACAGAACGTTAGGTTTTGCGGATTGAAGTTGGCGTGTCCCTATTCTTGTTCATGGTTGCCAACTGGTGCAATTTTCAGACTCCCAATAGCTTTTGGCTGTCCTCCTTTTGTTTGTCTCAATCATCAGAGTTTCACTCTTATGACTGTGATCCTCTTCTAATGCAGCTCTGTGGAGCCCAACGACTCGAGAGTCTGGCCTAATTGGCGATAGGGACTGTGCTGGCCTGTGGCTTAGGTGTCTGACTGCTAATGCCATTGCGCAAGCCATATGCGCTTTGAACGGCACCGGACTACTCACTTTTGATAATATTTCGAGTGGCCACTGCTGGGTGATCGGGGTGTGCGTGTTTTGGGGCCAGTCTTTTCCAGTCCGTTCGGGGTGAGGGGGAGGGAGCATTGCTGTCCAGGGGATACCTTGTTTTTCTCACTCTCTTGTGGCAGTAAATGGTACGACTTTGGTGGCGTTTCGAGATGGATACCTTGCTCACTCTCTTGTGGCAGTAAATGGTACGACTTTGGTGGCGTTTCGAGATGTTCGTAGTTTGGATGTGTCTACTGATTTTTTATTGGTCCGCCGAGCTTAGTTATAAACCTGAAAACGCACTAATCATGTCTGCAAGCTTACATCAGTCTAGACGATGTGCATCGCAAATAGTTTGAGTTCGAAAGTAGCCCTGTGTGACCATTGTGATTATCTACAGCGAAGTGTCCAACTTCGACGCACTCGTGCCCTACAAACCTCTGTGGTATATTACCAATGGCTTTTCCTAGTCCCATTGAGGCGCCGTTATCTGATTTTCCATCTCGGATGTCCAGCCGAGGATTTCATCCATCTGTGCAGTGATCAACAGACTCCAACCTGCTTGCGTGTGGCACTGGTAGTCGAAAGCTTTGCTGAAGTCCATATGCACTGCGTCGTCTTGTGACGCTCTGTTTCATCATATCAAGCGTCACGAACCACCACAATTTTTGTAAAGCCTCCCACTCACAACCCCACTTGTTGAGCCGGACAGGGCGTTCCACATGTATATAAGTGCATATATAAGAGTGTATATAAGTGCTCCTTTCGTTATCCCTTCTAGAGTCATTAGAACTACCGACGTTAGGCGAATAGGCCTGTATTCGCGTGGGCCCCCAAAGTGGTGACATTTTGGAAATGTTCTAGTTAGCCTCATAGGCTAGCCTCCGGGGGTAAATTCTGCTTTCAGAGGTTGATTGTAGATGTGTGCCAGAGTTGCTACAGTGATAAGCTATAACTTCCTGGGTATAAAAGAATAGGTCACCTAGTCCTTGCGCTTTGATGTTATCAAGAGTTCATCGAAATTTCAGCTTACCTATAAACGACCTTTTTGAGCTTTGATTGCCGTGTTATTGCACGCAGGATGCACCGCAGCGAAGTGTTGTGAAAATATTTAGGCCCATTTCTTGACATTGGTGATAACTTCTGTTTTCATAACCTGGAAGTTGACCCTTGTCTTTCCTTCTGTTACTGACACATAGATTTAGTGCAGATTTCTCATGCACTCGTTTTTTTACCAACCACCATTTGCTTTCAGGCATTTCTGACTTCTTTTCATGAGTAGTAACCATTCAATCTTCGATCCCCTTTAGAGTGGCACCATGCTATCACCCCAACAAACTATGTGACGTCCAAGGGTGCTAACGAATCACAGTCTTTTCCGTTCTATCTGGTACATACAGTTTGGTTGGCTTCCTTAAATTCCCGACACACATCTTCAGTGCACTCTTCGCTCGACGTCCCAAACTATGAGGTGAGCATGGACCTTCGTACTCCGAAGTTCGGCCTCCCGGATTGCCGAGAACGATTTGCCAGGTATTTATTGCACCATTCAACCAAGCCTAGTATCAGTGATGTCATGGCCATTTCCTCCTAGCAGCTCCGTTGTGTTCGACGAGGGATGGAGCGCCGCGACAATCAGAATAAGAGTGGAAAGGCTGAGGGCCCGGAAGCTAGGCTTTATTCATCCAAAACGTTGACACTGAGAGCTGAAACGAAAAAAGGTGATGTAGTAGTGGACGCTGAAACGTTTAAAAAACGGAGCAAATATACGACAAGCTCCTACACCGTAACCGTTGTCACTGCCTGCAGTGGACTCGTGAATAGCAGCTCTAGCATCTCCCCATTGTAGTGGGCCCGTAGGCATGTCATGGATGCCTTTATTCCACTACCCACTCCAAGAAAGGTGTTGTTTGCTAAGAAAAGTAGTCGTACTAGCTGTGTGTTGACCAGTTCGTATGTGGGAAACTGAAATCCTGCGTGGTTGGTACGTGACTAAATAAAATAAACAATAACAGTCTAGGTGTAATGCCCTCCCGGTTTATACCTGCCGCGCCACCCAAAAGAAGCACCAGGGACCTGGATCCATATTTCCCGGGACTCTCTATACTGCTTCGGTGGCGAGATAACTCATTTGTCAGGACGCAAATTTACCGGCAGGTCCGTGGTTTGAACCCGACCTCTGTATCTCGACTTCTATCTAGGCTTGGGCAATTTGGCAGTATACTAGCTCTCGTGCTTTTTTCTGGTGGCTTGGCTACTAGGTACCGGAAGGGTGTTACAGCTGAACCATTAAGTATTCAAAACTAATGCGGTGTTGTGCTTATGTCCAGAGGTTATCCCTTTGGGACGCACTACTATTTTGGGGCCTTTCGATAGTGGCCGACTTGAGTGATTCATTTACATATATAGCAATAACTTTGTTCATTGCAAGAGCGGCCATACCTGCGAACTGTGTACATTACAAATTCAACTAGCTTTCCACCAGTTAGTCATATTCTCATGATGGCGATCACTTACGATTGGTGTTCAGGTACCCATGCTTGCAACTGGATTCACTTATTTATAGGGCTCCTAGCCATGGTCCGGGTCGGCATCATTCCTCGGTCTCGGCAGACTGTTTCTGCTGGGTTGTTAGCCACAGTGACGGTCGATTCCAGAGGCGCTTCTGTACAACGAAAAATTTACAATTTCTTCTCCGTCGTTGCTACATTCAGGCAGCCACGTTACTGCGGCCCTCCATTGTTCGTCTTGTGGGCTTAGGTACGGTCATAATAATATGGTGGCCCCTTTCAACTCACGTCCTCTGATGAACGAAACCTTCGGAGATTAATCTGAGTTGAACGCAGTCCTGAGTAACCTGGGTTTACCTTCTTGCAGCTTGGATTCAACACCCAGTAGTTCTGTGGTCACCTTATCGTCACCCTTCTGTCGTGCCCCAGTCATCATCATCAACTTCGACAGTATGACATCAGTGTTCGACATTGATGTTTGGCTGCAGTACAACCATGATGTATTTGGAAGCCTTATTATGAATTAAGGAATAAAAGTGGACAGGGGAAAGACTTAGTGTTACCTCGAGATAGTTTAGTGGTTAAGGGCCAGCTTAAGGACCGTAAGGTCCGTGCTTCGAACCCATCATCAGCATCTCAGTTGCTCCCTTCTAGGGTTAGGTAACCTTGCAGTATCACAGCCGTCATTTCTCCTTTCGGTAGCATGGCAGCTAGGCTCCACAAGTGTGCTACAACTGAACGATTACTGCTGGATTACTACAGTTATTCCGAAGTGCCCACACCTCCAACAGTTATCCAGGCAATCTGGATAGAAACTGTCAACAAGAATGCCACTGACATCGGCTAACAACCATATTTTGCAGCGTCTCCAACTAGGCGCAATGAATCGCGCGGTTCCTTTCCTGAAAAGCGAGTAGCTCCGATAACCTCCAGACTTTTCGTAATCTCTTTAATACCTCTCTGTTAGGTCAAGGTTTGTTCGGCTCTCTGCATCCTCCACTCCGAATTGAACAGGATAAACAACAGTTTCTTTGGCAAATGATCGTTTGGGATACGCAGGTTATGGTGCTGGACACGTTAGTTAATGGATGTCCCGGTTGCGAACCCGAAAACTCACCTTATTGCCTCGTTACGAATTCGCGTTCACAGACTATGGTTCTGAGACAACAATTGTCGAACACCTGAAGGCGTCTCATTTCCGCTGGTCGAACAGGCCAAGTCTCAGCCATACAACACAACAGCCCCCACTGAAACCTAGTATCTGGCTTCTCAGGGACTACCATGGTTGTGTTGTCTTTGTTTTCTTCTAGCCGGGTAGCCGGCACTCACAGATTGATTTAGTTCAATTCAATTTATCACCTATGAACCATGTGCCATGTGCACATTGGTCCCATCTACTACGGTCCCGATCACTGAAAAGTGGGAAAGCGTGAGAGAAGCAACTAGATATTTCAGGCGAAGACATGTTCAGTTAATTCGGGAACTCAGTGCCTACGTGCTGAAGGCGGTAGCTTTCATGTATGGGCACTACTGACTACGCGTTATTGTACATGTCTCGGTCGCTTTTACTCAGCTGAGGGCTCGGCGAAAAGTGCGCTGGAAGGCAGGCGGAGTGCATTTCTCAACCAGTGTAAGCTATGAGGCGTTAGTAATTCATCTATCATGGGAGGGCCCCTACTTCATAAGACCATCTGAAGTGTCCCAGCATTGCTAATACGATGTTCCGACTAACCCAACGAATGCTTGGGAAGTACCGGTGCCCAAACACTGACATCTTTCGCATGTCCTTTTCGTGTAGAGACCACGTTTCTGATCTTGACAGGCAAACAGGTCACGTTGGAGCTACTGGTGTCAGAGTTTGGCAAAAGCTGCACTGGCCTTTCAGATTCGAAAGGTAATCTCATTTCCAGCCGTTCCACCGGAAAATTTCGACCCTTTAGGTTTCAGATGCAGACAGAATTCCACGCAGCACATCAATCACAAAGTTGAAGGGGAAAAACAAGACAGGTTATCGTTGTTTTACTCCACGACGTAGTGAACCCAGGCGAAGGCTTGTCATGTACTCGTACCCGTTCACAGGAGTTCGCATACAGTACCGTCGTAACGGATATAAATTTGGATAGGATATTCTTTATTGCCAAGCACGGTTAAAGTTCCTGACGATCGACAGTCAAAAGCAGCTTTCAGATCAGGAAAAACGACCAACGGGGGACGTTTCAAACATTGACACTATTCGGGAACTTCTTTCAAGATAAAGGTATGGTCGATACATCCTCCACCAGGGCGAAACCCAGATTAATTACCACGAACCTGTCTCCCAATAAACGATCAAAACAAACGATTAACGGCGTAAAATAATGCCGGATAACTCCTGGCATGCAATCAAGCTGATACCCCTGTGGTTTTCGCATGATGTTCTTGCGCCCTTTTTAAGACTGGGATGAGGATCGAGGCACTCCATTCCACTGGCATTTTGTTTCCGTTCCAAATCTTCTGCAGTGTGATTTTCAGGCTGTTCACTAGGACCTCACTGGCTTTGAAGTTTGTGGGGTGCAGACCATCCGGACCATGTTCCTTGTCGCGTTGAAGATGTGATGTCTCATGCCGCATCTCTGTTGTCAGCGGGCAGGTGTCGATTCAGGCCCGTTGGGCTTTTCCAGAGGTTGTTTTGAAAGAGATCAGCGGAAGTGTTCAGTCCATCGCTCAAGAGGATAGTTTTGGGAGTGAATTGTCGTCCCGTTTCCCTGCGTATTCTTTTGCTGACACTTGTCTTCTTTTGGCCGGTTGTCTGCCGCCAAAGGCCTCCTCATCTCCTGGGTCTTCGAAACCCAACAGCGTTCTCTGACACTCTTCAAGCTCTTGATTATCCAGATGATGATGATCATCATCGACAGCATGACATCATTGTTCAACACCGACGCTTTGCTGTCATATCCACATGTGCCATCATACTCGCCAATTGCTGGCATGGCCCTTCTCGATGACTCCCTAGTCGAGTCGGATGGCTTGGAGAGACAGTTATGAAAGCTGAGAACATAGCTTCTTTCACCCGCTTCCATTCAACGTCCAATCAATCTTCATCATCAGCATGAATGCGTTTCCAGTAGCTTTCTAACCAGGTCACCTCGATAAGCCTGAACTATTGAAACTTATAGAAGTTAATGAATTGAGTTGCTGTCCTTTGGCACTATAATGCTGGTGGAAAGCGAAGTGATAGTTGGACTCGCACAGTGTCACGACTAGAGTTAAGTTGAGTACCTCACAAAGGACGACAATGTTTAATTGAGGCTCCACCGGTAACTAATAGTCACACGGTCCAATTGAGTCCATGGCTGTATTGGTGGACTCCAAGTAACTCGATGTAAGCGTTGGGCTTAGAAGTTCCTACTGGCCAGGAACACACGATGATCAGCACACAGCTAAAGCAGTCGCTCTCCATTATCCGCACGTTGACTTGAAGTCTATCCCCTAGTTATACTTTTTCAGCACTTAATAGTGCAACTTTGAGATTTATATCACCCTCCAAGATTAATAAATTCCTACTTCTTCCCGACTTAGGCAGACGTGACCGATCTCCACAAAATCCGTTTTCAGTTTCAGAACTGCCATGTCAAGTACCATAACACCAAGGTTCCTCTAGGTGGTGGATAATCATCGATATTGAATGGGGGCACAACAGTCGAAGCCCCATGATATCTAATCCTCCTCAGTATGAACACAATCTCGGTGCGTTTGGATGGGTTAGGCTGTAGCGCGATATTTTGTCTCCACTATCTTGTGGCTTCACCGTCTTATCAAAACAAGTAAGCGTCTCGGGATGTAGAACATGGTCTGTCAAATGCGATTTCCTCCGCATATTTTATCAGATTGCACTATTCATCAGGTTCCGAAGAGTCTATGTAGAAGGTGAATAGAAACAGTGCCACACAGCTCCCTCGCCACACCGAATTCGTTGACGAGTTTCTTCCTCTAAGCTGTGCGTACTATTGTAGATCGATAACATAGTTATGTAGGAAAAACAGAAGAGATATTCAATCGATTGAATCGAAAGCACTGCCAAACTCCACGAAATGGACCCGCAAGCTGTTTCTTCTAATTTCTTCGGAACTGCGCGATGGTGACACATGACTGCACCCTTGGTAGATCTACTGGTCTCGTACGCATCCCTGGAGGCGTTTAGTTGATGCTTTGCAATGCTAAGCAGTAGTCGCTGCAGCACTTTCAACAAAACAGAGACGAATAATATCGGACGGAAGTTCGGTGGATCACTTGTTTGACACATTTTTTGCTGGGATTAATCCGAAAATTATTCATCCGTCGCAAGTGAAGGATTAGACACGATTAGACAACTGATGAAACGGAACCGGGGGTTTCCGAATCATAGTACTGTATTACCGTTTGGGCAGCGTATGCGGGTTTTCTTCAGTTCAGAGCACACGTCTTCCGGGGCTAGCGTCAGTGTTAAAGTACTTGAGCTGCGTGATGGCCTGTATGTTTCTCAATGGACGGCATTATGACGTGTGGCAAAAGCATCGTGGAGGTCCTCGAGACTATTTTTGCCGTGTACCATGTATTTGCACTGATAGACGAATTTCACGCTAATGGTAGTTAAACTGGATATCTTTGACTTGATTTGAACGGAACATGCTTTGGTAATGGTCTCGTTCCGGGCTTTGTAGGTTGTCTTGGTTTCATGAAAAAGCTGAAGTTAAGAGTTACAGGATACGAAAACCTTGCTTTCCATAACTTGCTGTTTATCGTCAAACTTCTCATCGCTGTTAAGGACCATCATTCGCCAGGTGAAAAGCCCAAATAAACGGGCCGCTCCAGATGGTTCTTTCTTGGTGTTTATATTTGCTTGCTCCTTGGTTTCAGTGGAGTACAAATATCAATACATATTTTTTCTGACACTTACTCTAGCCCATGCAAGGTGTTCCCTATACACCCCATTTTCATATGCTTCTGAGGAGTGTCGCTACCTTTGAATAAGATTCAGGTATGTTTTACTGCTAACGCTTATTTTTCACCAGATCGAACTATAGAGTAATGGAAAACGAGGAAAACGAAATTTTTCAAAAAAATTGGGCGAGTTTTATTCAGTCTCTGGATGTCGGGCCTGAAAAGGCGAAAGGTATCGAACAGCTGCCTGCTGATCAGAAGAGACATCTGCTAGAAAGCTATGTATGTTTGTCTTCCGCATTCACGCGTGTAACACCGTCCATAGGTCACCAAGAATCCCAAGTGTTCGGCATTTCATTACGTTTCGCTCATCAAAGGACTACGTGTTGGTCGATCGACGCTTTCTAAAGTAAGTGTGACGAAATGTTGGCTATCCTCTCTTCAGAATTCTCGGCGCAGCGAAGGACAACATGCCAAAGAAGTTCTGATGGCCACGGAGATTTCTCTTCGAACAAACAATGTTGGGTATGAGTATTCTACAGTTCCTTCATGCTTCCTTTAGTTGGGTTTACGAATTCCTCGATCAGAACGGTTTGGATGTTCTGGTAACGTATGTATCTAAAGTGATACATATGCTGATAAGGTACGTATTATGTATTACGGCGGCCAATTTTTATCGCATATTAAATGGTTAGTTTGTCTTAACAGCATCGCATAGCCTCACAATCTTCCCTTCATTATGAATCTTTCATTGTTTTTGGACGTCTCCGTGTCCACCCCACCACACCAGACCGTCTTGAGTGGCTTATCTTTTTATATCCTCAGAAGCAACATTGGTTCGGACTCCTCTGATATGGAACCTCCCATGATCCCACTCGAATCCTTCGACTCTACTGAGACAATCAGTCGTTCTCTACCTTCAAGCCGACCCAAAGCGAATAGTCTACGTTCTCTTTGGTGTATTCGACGACCAGCCGACGGAGATGAATTCGGTCGACGGCGGTCACTGAATCGACCAAGTCGGTTCACCCTTCAATTATCCGATTCCATTCGGGATAGTCTCCATCAAGCGGTCAAATGCTTTCGGGCTTTGCTGAATAACCAAGTATCCAACTTTTCCAACCTGTCTGACATGTTATTCATATGACTCATGCGAAAATAAGATTTCCTGAACCCCGTTTTAACTTTGGGTTAACGTGTTTCTCCCAGTTAAAGTTCCACACGGCCTTTGATATTCTGCGGACCTGGCTCGTGTGTCGCGCAACTCCTGACACGAGGTCAACTAGGGAGGACCATATTGGCTACAGTTCTGTAGCTTTGTATGAAATATTTGCGAAACAGGTTTATTTTCCATGATTTCTCTATTGTGCAAATAGTTTCTGAGAGGTTCACCAAAATTGGACTCTTTTGCGGTAGATGACTACTACTTTCTTGCCTCTCTACAGTTAAATTCGGGATGATGTAGACGGCTTCTCGCTTAAGATTCGATTCTTCTTCTGTTCTGTCTACATGGAATTGTCCTACAGGACGTGGCCGACCGATATCGCTAGTGGCAAATGCGTTTTTATATATTCATCCACACTTGGGAGGAAGTCCGTGTTTTTCGTCACAAGTGTAGTTATTGGGGTTTTAATTTCTTTTGGAAGTGACCTCAGTGATGCATAACGCGTGGCTGGAGTGTATGCGACGCGAAAAGTAAACATCCGTATTCAGATCGCAGTTCAGCTACTGATTCAACAAGTGTACTCCCTAAAACCGAGTAATGCGTTCGGGCGAACAACAGTACGTGGGTGCTATCTATTTCATACATGAACTAGATGCTTTGAGTTACGTAACCTATCCCCTGTATACCTGTCAATTGTTCCTTATGTGAAGAATGTTTTTCGAGTTCACTCGGAGCATCTAGATCACAGTGATGTTTATTTTACAGTCCCTTATTCCCGTAAGGCAACTGGACGCCAATTTCTACTACTGGCTTGTTGGCCTCCATTCCTATTATTATTATTATTCTCATTCTTATTGTTATTACTAATTGTGTGGTGGAGGTTCATACCATTACTACTGATTTTTATGTTGCTTGCTCTCGTTCATTGGACAAACACAGCAGACGCTCTCTTTGTACGATTTCAAGGCAAGGGTTTGGTTAATTAGCCTAAACGCACGATCTATCCATCTATCTATCGTTGCCTATCAAATAGGCAACGACGGACGGTCAACTAATTACGGCGAAACAGAATTCTACATGCTTCCGAGTAGTAGTCGCAATTGGGCAGCAAACAATATGTTGAATTAGACGTGGGCAGACAGTATAGATAGGCAGACCATGGTTCTATAAGAAATAATGAGCTGGATTAGAGGAAAGCTTACGGCTAGGTTGGACCTCTGGCAGCTAGCAACACAGAATAGCACAGAAAGGGCAGTGTGCTATCGGACAAATTAAACGGGAAAAATGTTGTGCAGTTCAAAGTGGGATAACATGTTCAACAACAAACTCAGAAATGAATGTGAATAAATCGAGTCACGAAAATAGTTAACATAGAGTCGACTCTGTATAAAATAGAATAGTTCAGTCTTGAAACTTGAATAGTCATCGGAGGGGTAATGAATTGGTCTGAGGAATAGGGAAACATAAATAGTTGTGTCACATAATTGACACTCTCCTTTATCCTTACCCACAGCGTGGCTGTTCAATGGTGTTTGATCATCCCCGTGCCATCAATGTGATCACGCTTTGCCTGCTTCATCCCAGTACCCAGTGAGTTCATGTTTCTTGTGCATGCAATTCCGGATTCATCGCTTCTCTTCAGAACCGGACGAAACCGTTTGGTTCTCCAAAGCGTTCAAAGGCGGTCGACTTCTCTTCCTCACTGTACAATTATCCCTTCCTCTCCTTTATGAACACTCATCCTTGTCTCTCAGTAGCTGTGATGTCTGTTTCTGCAGTGACCAGATAGATTGAGATAAAATGAGAATTCTCCGACAAGAAACCGATTTGATTGGGCAAAAATGAATAAAAATCAGTAATGTTATCAACTGTTTCAATTAAACTGCTTTGGACATCTGAGCACACATACCATGGAGTAATACGGCTGTTCGTCTAGTCTTCAGTAGTGTGGTAGCTCGGGTAGGTTGTTGATCTGCTCTCCGTGCTTGGCAATCGACGTGCAAACGTCGATGATGTCTCGGATGACGAAACGTTTGAAACTGAATTGCCAATCCCGGTGAACAAAGCAACAGCCAGCTGATCAACAACCAATCTCTGGTTTTCAATAAGCTGTGCAACTTGCGCCGATTTGGAGGCGATCTCGGTATTATCATAGGTTCGCAAGTTGTTTCTTCTTCGACAAGACTTGCAAAATGTATTTATTGCCGCAACGAATCCATGGATCTCTGTTCCTCGAAACAATTAGAAAGGAACCGATTACCGTGCAGAAAGGGTACAGCGGGTTTATTTGCCGTCTAATGGAACTAATCCACACGCTACTCAATCAGACAGAAGATCCTAGCCGTAAACACGCTCATAATTTGCGTAGAAAACTTTCTAGAGGAGTTTGACAATCCATGTGGTACGTACGTCTGCGTACTCCTTTGGTGTATTGTCAAGCTGGCCGAAACCCACGTTCAGGATTTGTAAACCTCATCTGTGTTCAGTCGTTTGCAAGTGCAATATTAATTCATCATGATAGAATTTTTTATGTTATCCTCTATAATTAAATTTCGCTTTAACCCTCGGCAGAGTACGTGCTTTTATGCGCAGCTACCCTCATGTATGCGAAATCTCTGCTGCCTGAAAATTTTGTGTGCAGGATGTAACCTAGCATCGAAAGAATAAACAGTTGACGAATGTATAAATAGTCTTCTTGTGGTATGGTCTTGTGGTTCTTACATGCCCTGGTTTTATTTCCTGTCATATTCGCACATGGAGACTGCAAGTACCACCTGCTCATCGACCTACCCCGGTTAGGTCGTGAGAAGTATTTTACTGACATTTTACTGACATTCTAGTTCCCCCAGCTCCTCTACATTAAATAATTCATATCTAATATCTCATGTCTTCTGTGGCTTTGGTCCAATTTCCACGGTCGGTCCAATTCTGAGTCTACATGACTGTGATCAAGTGGTGTTAGGCCACTTGCTTTCCCTGGTCTTCATGACGTTTACTATGAATTGGTAGCTCAGTTTTTACGGATCGCCTTTGGTCTGTTCAGTGTGACTTGTGCTTATAGCAATTTCGTAGATTGAACGTGCACCATACCCAAGTCAGTATCACGATTTTCCACATGAAATACCCGTGCAGGAATATATCAAATAATTAAAACTGCGGTAAAATTATATTCCAGGATTTAACCTTTTCATCCAGGCCTGCACACTTCACATTAACCCGGTTTTCTCACTGTACTATAAGTGGATAAACCCTTTTTTCCCATAACTTTGATGTTTTCGGTATGTATCCACTCACAACCGTCCTTCTGTATCTTAAACTTGAGCAACTTCATTCCTGTTCTTTTTTCAAATGAATAAAACCATCACTTAATTTTTGATATCCCTTTCTGTTTATAGAACTAAATCACTTGTTCTCGAACTGTTGGCTGCTGTCTGTCTCATTATCGGTGGCCATGAACGTGTGATCAAGGCCTTCGATAATTTCAAACGGGAAGTTGGCGAGTTCCAACGTTTCGAAAGCTTAGTTCACTACTTTTTCACGCACGAAACATCCAGCCCTGCTGATGAGTACAATGTGGATTTCATGGTACGAGTCTCGTTTCCTCCAAACTCGTGTTTGTTTTCTACCAGCTGCAATTGATATCATTTTGTCTGTTTTTTTCCTCACTATCGTGTACAGCTGTGGGTTCGACTACCCTCAACCGTTTTGCTCGGGACCACGCATAACGGAAAAGTTTCCGTTACTTTCGCCCCCCTACTTCATGTGTGTGTGTGTGCGTGTGTTTGTTCAAAGTAATCATACTCCCTAGTCGCAAAATCATGATAATCGAGCATCCCTAGCAGATAAGCCATACTCACTGTTCATACGGAAAGACTCCTTGAAAGGAGAGCAATCCTTGGCGAAATACACTCATTTACAAACTAATTTGGTTTTGCGAGAGTCTCACCTGGAACCCAGCCGAATCTCTCGTTTGTGATGTTTCAAGGTAACTGAATGTGCTGCACCAGGCCGCCTCATGTTTCAGTCAGTAACCTTATAAGTAGTGCATTACGGCTAATCCTTGCTTCAATCTGATTATTCCTCCATGTGGATCTGCTGATTCATCTTTTTCCACCTCCGTTGTATTCGAAACAACAAAACGGTAGAAGGAAGTGGCATATGACCAGCCTGGAGCCAACATTCCAGTGCGCATTCCTAAACACCCGTCCTAGTAACCGAAATAAAAACAACAGAGGGATAGCCCGATACTATGTCACGGCACTCTCTTGCACTGTCACGCTCCAGGATGGCTGTATCGATGAGGATTTCCAGAATGGTCGTGCCATTTCAATGGACCTGTAGGTTGCACGCTCCGCTTGATATTTGTCAAATTAATCATACAGTTGACGTGAATGCGTCAATTCATTTCTGAACAAGAAGTTCAATGAAAAGCGGCACCGCTGTTGGGTGCATTTGGAAACATCTCAGTGTTCATCCGCGGTGTGTGTTCATTTGTGTACTTGAATGTTGCGTAATGGCCCCCATTGAAGCAGGCGTTAATGTGGATACCAATACAATTTAATGTCATAGCTTGCGGAGCAGCGTTCTCACTTTGTGACGATGATAGCCGACGTATCTGAAAGAAGACGCACCGTTGCGTAGGACAGGATCTGAGTCCAGTCCTGATTGGGTTTGATGGGATAGTCCGTGTGACGCTTCGGTGAATTGTTACGTGACGGACTTGTTGGTCGGGCGAATACATTATTTCAATTCGTGACCTTGGTAGCGGTGATTCAGCTCTTTCATCCTCAAAAAGCCACTCTCATGAGGACACCGCCCATGTGGTTTGGACAAAGTGGAATACGTCTTTTCAACGAGAAAACAACGATGATACCAAAAGTATCATAATAGAAAATATCTACCTCCGCAAGAAAATCTTAGCGAATTTCCCCCAGTTCTGTTATCGAACTAATAAAGCCTACACTTCCCGATTTAGCTCCGTAACGTACACTGTACTACGAACAACGTCGGTCGAGTTTCCGTCACTTTGTTCAAAAACCGACCTGCTTAACTTACCCTTCTCACCTTTATTCCTTGCTATACCGACACACAGTGGTCTTTGTATTTTAGATATCCCATCTGTAACCGAGCCAAGTGCGTGGTCACTATTTGACTATCATGGTTCATCATTGCCTCTTATCCACTGCATGCCTCCATCGGCTATAATTATTCTGTTCTGAACAGCCAATGTGCACCAGAGATGGCTTACAGTTCCGTATGAAACCTTGCTGGTGTGTCAGATATGATATCTTATTTTCATTCAACTGCCATTCCGTGAAGAGAAATGCGACAGTACGGAACAGCGTCACTTGTCGCTTCCGGCTGGGATTTAATTAATGAACAGCCCGTGTTTTTCTCACTCAGCATACCTCATATCATTTAGGAAGCGGTGTTTCATCATCCGAAGGCTTGATTGCATGTATCATTATAAATACAGTTAATGAAACCGAGTACCCATACCCTATAGTCTGTTTTATAGTGGTCACTAGGTGTGCCATGCTGCAAAACTGCAACGGTTTGTTCCATTTTCCTGTTCGGCATGGGATTGAGCCTCCTTCGTTTCACGTGTATTCGTGGCGATCATTCGTTAGACCGAATACATCCGGTTAAAAGTATCCGTATCCGCGCTACCAAGCAAGACGATGTACCCACCATGTTTATCTCCTAACAGTCAAGAATTTCCTGTCGCTACTCCAATCCCCGTTCTGATTTACTGCGTTTCAACTCTTTTGATCCAGGTATCGTGTATCCAGTTCTTCAACATTGTTGTTCATTCAACTGATGACATCATGCTGCGAGTTTATCTCCAGGAAGAGTTCAGACATTTGGGATTGGTCCTCTTTTTACAGGTGAGCAGCTTTCACCACACTGGTGCTCATTTGTGTTCTTTAGTTTGTAATTTACACATATTTTCCCCGGATTTGTGGTAAAAACTAAGACGTCGTCCGACATTCGTTTTTCACCGCACGAATCTCCAACAAGCGCACCTCTCTACAACGAGGGCTGTTATTTTCTCAGTGGGAACTCTCTGGATCAAATGTTGTTCCTCGTCGCCAGACATCGGTTAGCTGTTGGCTTTTAGAAAAAAACAAATTACTTGGAATATACTCATTTCGATAAGACGATTTGGATCTATTACGTTCACATAAAGTGGGTTGCGCCCCCGATTTTTGGGCTTAAAATGCGTGAAAAATTGCTCAACAGACCTGGAAATGTTTCTCATAGCCGAGAAAAACCTCTGAAAGAAACTATCCCGGTGTTATTTAGGTCTTCCTTGAGGTTGCTTTTCGTGGAGGTAAGCGAATCCACTGTTTGCACAGATGTTTCAATAGAACGCTGGCGCGTTTCTGAAGCTGCTATTTTGGTGGTCACGGATTCCTTGCTCTTCACCAACGATAAGCTCCAAACGTGTGCGGATTCACCTTTTATGACCTTCAAGCCGACTGGTTCATGTTGTTCTTTATACTCACCCTACTTTTGAACTTCTCAGACCTGCCGCAACTATGGAAAAAAAGAAGTCATTGATTAAGTAGATTATAATTCTATTGATGTTCAGTTTAGTAGTGGAAGAGGTTGCCTACCATTTGAGTTGAGATTAAATCGTTTTTTCCTGTTTATCGGCATTATTTGGTAAGAGAAGCATCACACAATTATATTAATTTGTTGGAGGTAGATCCGAATTTGGTGGGTCATTGACCTGAAGCCGACTCACACTATCGACTTCTGCGTATCAGTCTGTAATTGATGGGCTTACATTGTCATTTGCTTGTACGGTCGTTAGAGTCAAAACAAGTAGACGCAACTAAAGCTGTGAGTCGTCTCTGTTCGGAAGGATCGTCGTAGTTGAAAAGTGCAAGTGCCTCAACAGGTTATGATTGTGATTACTGAGGCCCTACTCTGTCTAGAACCGTTCTTCTTGAGTAGTGCTTCCAAGTTTCAAACGCGCATTCTATGGCGAGTGCCCGGCAGAAACGGGTTGTGGATTTTTCTATGTTTATGGTGTTCTGTTGGGTTCATCGTAGGAACAGGAAGAGACTCGATATAACGGGCCCGTAAACTTTTACTCAGACCCCACTAATGGTGCAGCCAACTGACAACCGAGCACTGGCAGCATATTCAGTTTACAACAGACTCGTCTTCGCAGTACGGAGAAACATCGACCTCTCGCTGAATGGATCTTCGAGTAACCATTGGTCAACTCTGTCTTAGGCTATTTTTTTTCAAACAACTACTCTTGACTAAGATCACTTTTTGCTGAGTTTTACCATTGCTGAATCCCGTTTTCGCTCACTATGTAGCGCCTCCATAATCGTGCAAGCGATCGCCTTGTACGACAGATTGAAGCCTACAATGACAACGAGGTGGATGTGGCCATGCTTTTGGAGGACTCTCAAGCTCGAGAACTTTATCAGCAAGAGTTAGAACAGCGAGAGACTGAAATGTTCGCCTTGCAAACCCGTTTGGGCAGCATCCAGACTGAACACGAGGCAAAAACAGCCGAACTCCAAGCCACTTTGGACGCTCTACAATCACGTTGCGCAGAATTAGAAGTAAGTTGCTTCGTCTTTCTTGCATTCGCCGTTCGCTTTTCTGTTGTCAATCTGGCTTCCGAACACACTAGACATAAGTCAGTAGTTCTGGCCAGCTATCTCTGTCTACCTTGTGAAAATTTTGTACTTCCTTTTTCGACAAACGACCACTTGACGCGTGGGATCGTATGCACCCTTGGCTTTGTCGGCACTGGGCCTACTACCAAGAGAAATACCGGATGTTGCATACCACGACCAAGAATTTCTACATTGGCTGAGGTCATATATTCAGGTTATGAACATTCATCATTGTGGAGTTGGAACGCTAGTATAGTTTCACCCACCCATTTATTTCATGACTGATTTGGACTCCACCCCACAGACGTCAAGCTGTCAGTTCTGCGTTAACTCAAGCTCGTCTGCAGCCGCTTGGTTCTACACATACGAAAAGCACATTGCTGTTCTTACACTTTCCTCTTCGACGCATGAACTTAGTTGGTTGCACACTTGGGGCGTCCTGTTAACCCGCTTACAGCGTTGACAGGAGGCGAGGCACGGCCATGCTAAACTCAACTGGTGAAGATGTGGGATACCGAGAATTTGCATCCAATTTCTCTTTACGATCTGTTTGTTCACTCTCTTCCAGTTCAATGGTAGGTTTTAAACTACAGTTATAGTCGAGTTATGCTGCAAAATTCAGAGGCACCTCGTTAGGAATCATCAGTATTCCACTCCCACAAGTCTCTGGGGTGGTTTGAGTCTGAATGCAAAAGTTCAGCTACAGTTCAGCTACCGTGAATAGCTTGCACGTAGTCAGGATACGGTGCCACTCGTCCTCCAACCATGAGCAAATAGTTGACCCCAAATTGTTCCAGACTCCTGTTTGAATGTGCCTGAGAGTTCGGTTACGTCATTCATCCTGTTGAAGAGGCTGCTATGAAGTTGGGAAGAAGGGAGGTTTGGTGAATCATTACCACACTGCTTCACCGTTGCCGTTACGGGTAGCAGTGTCAATACGGAACACAGATCACAGAATGTTCCACAAGGTCGCACTAGAATGTTTGTGAGGGGATGAGAAGCGCTGAGCTATAATGCTCGATCAGGATTGGCAAACATTCTGACCAATGAGGGCATGCCTTCGTTTGGTTCGTAGTCCGCATGTAACACATCCGTCCCATTGACTTGATGTTCGGTTATTGAGGGCAATTGGGCTTCGGACATCGACTGAACCGGTTTTAACAATAAATTGAACTTCCGAAGATATTTGTCAGAGAAACAGAGAGTCGAACTAGACTTTCTGAAATTCCTGGCGAATAGTTTGCCAAGTTTGTGTACCTTACTTTGCATAGAGAAAGATCGCTATATGATACACTACCTCTGATGCGATTCGGTTCCAAGGCAGAGATCCAAAATGATCTTCCTGTTTAGCTAATGTATTGACAGGTAATATCATAGAAAACGAGAAACTCGAACGGATTTCAGCTGAGCCCATCATAAACACCAAATCAACTTGCAACTAATTGTCTGTCGCAACATATGTGAAATTCAGTGTTCGGTTAGTAAGCTTGATGGAAATTTGGGGACTAGGTCTGCTTGATTATTCACAAGAAACAACCGAAACTGTTCGTGCTTTGTGATTTCGAGGTTCCATTTTGTCCCACAGTTTGACTGGACTGTCGCGAAAATACGGATAGCCACATAGTTCATCATCAGACTGCAACATCAGTGTTGCTTCACTGCCATTTAGCCAAAACGTTTATTTAAAATTATGTTAAAAGGTGAAAAGAATGGGTTGATGAGGAAATAAGGTGGCGCTAACCAATCACAGACCTTGTGAAGTCTCTATGCCTCCAAACATACAGTAAAAAGTGTAGAGAAACCGAAAGATCACTGGCATCGATTGGCCGTCATTTCTTGCAACGTCTCCATCCAAGCGCAAGGGTCACTACGAAGGCTACAACTCACCAGTAACATCCGCACTATTAGTGATCTCTTTCGCATTCTTCTCTCAAGTCACACCTTGTCCACATCGCTATTTGCACCATTCCAAAGTAGGCATGGAGAACAGTATATCTGTTGGTAGCCCGTGTTTCGGCATGTATAGCCGTATGAGGATTTAGTGGTTTTTGACCGTTGAGTGCCGTCACGTGACTGCATATTTTTGGATAGAACCAACCTTTTATTTTAATGTGTCCATCGGTTCACCTTACTCATCTTATTGATACCAACCCCCCAGTGCTGTTTCCTCTGCCAAATGTTTGTTGCCTTTTTCATCTTTAAATAGGGTCAACATGAAGCTCAAATTGGTCAGTTGAATACACTCCAGTCACGTCTGAAAGACCAAGACAGGTCAGCCACAGATCGAGAAAAGATCCTAGAAGCTCGCATTCAAGAGTTGGAGGAAACGATTTCCCGCACCAAATCCACCGCGGATAGGCCGACATCCGCAAAGTTGGTAAACGGAGATGCACCTGAAATTGCTTCGCCTCCACCCCCTCCACCTCCGCCCCCACCGCCTCCACCACCATTGCTTTCTTCTGGCATACCTCCTCCTCCACCCCCTGTGATGGGTGGCATGCCCCCGCCTCCGCCTGGGCTTGGCCAAGTGCCTAGTGGAGTTGAGGGTGAGTTGCTTGCTCTACTCGATCCCTGTTACCCGTAAACTTCAGTTCAATCCTTCGACCGTACGCACGAACGTACTTCAGGGTTTCACAAGTCCTTTTTGTCAACATCATAGGATTGAGACTTAAGGCTGAGGATCAGCTGAGAGACATGAGACCATCATTTACTTCGTGACGTTACCTTGTCAATGAGGGTTCTTCATGCGGTGGGCCATTATTGCCCCTGTGCATTGATTTTCAGCCTTATTCTTGCCCATCAATTACCCTGTCTAATGGTAATCATCCTTCTGGGACTTGATTTTTCTGGCTGTTCTTCCCGAATCACAAAGACTAGTTTACCGAACTGTGAATGGAACATTCGGCTCACTTTCCTGTGCGTGCTATTTCTTCATACCTTCCTGTGCCTGGGTGGAGAGCCGCATAACTAGCATATACAGTGCTCCTTCTCTACTATGTCCACCAAACGGACTTTATCTTATTGGGGAATTGGTTGCATTATTGAAAAAGTAGAGTGTAAGGCTGGGCAGCCACGCGGTTGTAAAAGGATAGACGTCGGATAGCGAGAGTGCTGCGTCAGCAGTTGAACTGCGCTGAAAAAGTGTCTTTCTCACAGGCTGTTTCCTGTAGGGATCGGGATAGTTTTCTGCAGTTGAGGCGGTTAATTGAGGAGCGTTTTGGTGTCCATTAACTTCTTCTCCTCTCCGGTGATGGAAATGCAAAAACAACAGAGCAGAATAGTCACTACCCTGAACAGATCGTTCCACTGTATGACGACCTCGAAAAAGGCAAGCAGGCCTGCTTGTATCTGAGGAGCAGCTGTTACGAGGAGGTTCGTTAGACAGAAGGAATGCTTTGCCTCAGTCTGAGTTGATAGGACTTGTTTCACTGACTCATCGTTGATTGGCAGTTTTTTAAAGTATCTGATGGAGTCATGGTATCACGTGACACAGGAAGTATGCATGTACTAGGTATGGCAATCATACCGTCAATCATTAGGTTGTTGACAATTCTGGGGAGACTCATTAATTTCAAGATGGCGCATTTCGGTGACCGTTTGAAAAACACTGTTATCATACACACTACTACTGTCCACATGTTGGGAGTATACTATTAATTTTCTCTAATGCCGTTTGTTGGTCACTCTGCTTCTGCGTCTTCTCGAGTAACGAATTGCCCGCCTTCGCCATTCGGGTATGCTATTCTTCCAGTATCTTCAGCTGAGCATATAGCCGCATGTTCCAACTGTTTTAGTTCATTTGCAACCGAAATATCTGTTGATATTATATACGGATATCCATCAGAATTTGAAGGAGTTTGTAATGCACTACTCATAAGGTTGCTGAAAACTCCTCAACAGTCCACGACCGAGTTCTCCCTTCTTGGGACTCATCAGGTTTGCGCAGTCCCCGACTTTCCGTCAACTTTATGTTCTACTTGAAGGAGTTTGATTTCTTCGGCCTTCCTCCCTGTGGATCCTACACATGGCTTGATTGAAACCTAGACATAAGTCACCGTTTTACTGCTGTATAACGTACTCCTGTTTGTGATTGGTTCGATCTCCAGATCCTCTTCTCTTTTGGGCAACCTGAACTCGGGGATTCATATATTAGGGTTTCTGTTCGATTACGGTGTAGATCGATGCACGTTGGTGTAAATGAAAGTTGATTTGGGTCTGTCACTTTCAGGCCTCCGGTATGACAACCCATCCTTTCGCTGCGTAATTTTATCGTGTGGTACGGGGCCAAACGCAATCACTCTGTATTTGATCTGTTTTTGTTCGCATCTCTCCATTCCACTCTCATTGCCATTCAAACTCTGGGCACGCTTAATTTTCGCCAGTTAGGCAGATGCTAATTTTTGTCAGGGTAGGGAGTCGCTTGAGGAAAGTAAGATCAGTGCACTTATGCGGTGACTGGCAGGTGGAAATGTATTGGATGTAATCACGGGGAGGCGTTCGAACAACATGCCAAAGTCATTTGATCTTTTCGTGAAATGTTTGTTGACCGTACCATTACTGACATACAGATACTGTACTCGTGTAGTGCTACGCGAGCCGTGGGGGTGCAGAAATCGCTGACACCCAGGTTTCACACCCGGATCGTCGCGTTGTGTACCGTATTTCAGAGAAATGCGAATATCTCGTCGACGTCATAGGTGTTTCAAGTTGGCGAAAGCCATCCTTGCTTTCAAAACTTGTAATAATATGTCCTCTCCAACGCCACATCAACTGTACACAAATCCGCAGATGATCAAGGATGTTGATACCCTCTAGTCTATCCGTGATAAGTGTATGCTTGGGTTTTCGGCACTTACATGACGTGAAACGCATGCGATCCATGTTACTTCAAGTGTTAACCGGTCAAGCAACATCCATGTGCCGTGTGGGCAATCAGCGAGCAGCACACTACGATGTACGTACTCTGAGTTCAAAATTCTATCATCTGGCAGAGGTTCAACGTCACCGTCATCCTAACCTGTTAAAATCTTTCAACTAATATCGCCGATGAGGAAATTGAAAAGGCAATAGAGGCAACGCTGCATCACTTCGTCTGAGATGACAAGAGATGTTAGAAGCTTATCACAATTCGTAGCTCGGTTGTTGCTTTGGCCGTACAATGCTATCCAGATAGAAGTATGCAGTTCAGACACTCTAGCATTCAGTAAACAGTCTCAGGATGGCTCCGTGTCGTGATTCGAAGGCTGTTCCAATATTCGAAAATTCCGCACCTGTAGGCCTGCAATTCGTAACTCACACTCGACAGACTCTGCGACGTTGCGAGATCCAGTGATGGACCTACGCACTTCACTTTTCACCTGTACCAGCTGTCACCGGGCGAATAGAGTCCCAAAAAACAAAACCGGTCGTGACTTTTCGAAGTTCAGCTCTGGCTCGCATTCCGTATACTAGCGCATCACCACTCGACGCACAGCCACTACCCCACCACCACGTTCGATTGATGGTGAAACGTTTGCAAGCAGTTTATCTAGCTCAGCGAACAAACCAACGACCATTGTTGAAAAGTTTCCGGCGATCTTATAGGTACTATATGTTGGATGGACGGAAACACAAGATGGTCCTTGTACAACCTATTCGGTTGAAGGCTAACATAGACTACAGATTGAGATAATTTTCCCGTTAAACAACCGTGATTTGTCAACGAGTGGATGACTGCATAAAGTGGTCTCTATTTTTGTCAATAGTCCTAGTGTAATCATCTGGTCACGAGTTTCAAAGGTAATAACCCAAGTGCAGCACAACCTGCAAATGTTGTGTTCATCTTTGCAGGTGGTTTTGTAGTTAGCCACTAACAAGTTAACAGTCGTGTATATCTGCTGTCGGGTGATTCACCAACAGATGCTCTCGCACCACATCGATCAACCGGGAAGCCGCACCCAAACAGCTGTTGTTTGTGTTTGAATGGGACTGCACGGAAATCCACTGTCCAAATTACCCGCCATTCATCTGCGTTTGTTTGACATGCATCAGGCAGAAGAAGGAAAGACTGTCTATTATTATAGGATTAACCTGCACCCTCCTCAACCCGGTGAGACAAGGGACATGTTCTGCAGATTTGCACCACCAATTTGTCCATTTCGAAGACATTGGAGAATGACGTGAATCATTCACCGTACTTCAGGTACAACCGATTAACTATGGTGGCTCGTTTGTTTAGTTCATTCGGATTATCCAGTTTCATATGTTTATATTTGGGGGCTGTAGCATTCAGCGTATCAGATCTACGTGTGTTTTCTGACTTTGATAAGTGAACTTTAATTATGGGGTTATCTTCTCTCTCTCTCTCTCACCCACTGTTCGGTTGTTTACCACTGGGTCCTGAATAGCTTCCTGTGCGGATGGGTGGCTTGTGTGGATCGTGGTGTTCTTTCTGAATCAGCCGCGCGAAAAAGTCAGTGCGTAACCGGATTTAGCATAGGCTTGACGCAATCTCCCTTTTTATTTTGATAATCTTTTCACTTGTTCGGTGTACCACGTCCCTGGTACAGAATTCTCTCCATTCCAATCCCCCTGCTCCAGAATCTAGCAGGACACCAGGTTCCCGAGGTCGTTGATTTGCTCCCAACGGGGACCGTAGTGGCAGTGTTTTTTTGGTAGTGTTGGAATATTGGTAACTCGGGTGCATTTGTCGTTAGTTGATCAGGTGGCTGTTGATCTGTTCGTCGCCATTCGAGGAGACATCTTCAACGCGCTTCGAAGGCTTCTCCTCGAATGGTGGTGAAACGTTTGTAAATCAGTTTCCAAGCTCGGCGAACAGATCAAAATCAGTTTCCTCGGCGAACAGATCAACAGCCGCCTGATCATTTTATCATTTATTTTTGAAGAGCATGGTCACAAACATAAAAAGTGAATGAATGCGATGAATGCGAAAGAGTAACAGGAGAATATGGGAGAAAAGAGAGAAACGTCTCATTCGAAATCATGCCAAGGACAGTGCCAGTCTGATGAGGTGAATCCCAAAGTATGTAAAGATTTTGGTATGGGAACAGGCGTCTAAAGACTAACAACCAAAGAAAGGACAAACAATGGTGAATGCTCTTCAAGGCGCAGTATGCGCTAGCACAGTCAAGACTCGCACATCAGGCACAAAGTGACCGTCATACTGGGTCTGGGGTGAGATTAAATGGCAAAAATGTACCTTCAGTTCCATGTGCCACGCATAAAAGTGTCATAAGTACGCAGGGAGCCCACAATGGCAAGCAAACACAAGTCACTGACTGCGACCTTAGGAAGTCCCAGTCCAATAACAGCCTTAGCGGATTGAGGAAAGCAGATCCCTCGATAGGAGATGATCACCGGTTGGTGAACCAAAAAGTCGATATCACAACCGATGGCATGTAGGGCTGAGATTATGGCGAGGGAATGTTCATCAGCACCATACTTCTGCTTCTTCCCATTCCACACTGTCACTCCATGCCCATCCGAGACTAGGCTGACGTCTATTACAGTTGCACGGCGATCTCGAACAGCGATTAGGTCAGGTTTGATGAACGACGTAGAAGTAGGGG